CACCCAGCATTACCTCTAACCATGAGCCGCACAGCCAAGGAAGTACAGCAGAACCACAGAGGAATGCTGATGGATGGCTCTTTCATAGGCAGGCTTATGCTTAGCTGTCTTCTTTATACCCCAGGTCTACCTTCCCAGTGGGAAAGTCGCCCATAGGCTTGCCCACAGGCAGGTCTGATCTACATAGTTCTCTCTCCGATGGCTGGGATGTGTCAGGTTTACAGGCAAAGCTAACTAGGACAGAAACATAGCAAGACCTCTCAAAAAAGAAAAGGGAACCTAGGGATGTAGCTCAGTGGTAAAACTCATGCATAAGGCCCTAGATTCGTTCCCTAAATACTACCATAATTTTTATAAAAGGTTGGGCATAAGGAGACAGGCCTATAATCTGCACATGGGAAGTGGAGACAGGATCAGAAATTCAAGGTCATCCTTGGCTACATAGCTTGAGACTAGCCTGGGATATGTGAGACCCTTTCTTAATCCTTCCCTTACCACCTGGAAAAAATAAAAAAGGAATATCAGGTTGGGCATGGTAAAATAGACCTATAATAAAAGGGTTCATTGAATCTAGGCGTTTGAGACTATCTGATCTCCTAGAAGTTATTCAGTATTAGGGAGAAAAATCCTTAAATTTTGCGCTTTCCTGAAAAGTAGATGGAGTGTTGGGATTGGATATTAGCAAGGCAGGAGAACTGTTACCTCTAATAAAAAGTTAGTGGGCAAATCAGTTACCTTAAATTCTAAAATTAGAGGTTGGGGATTTAGCTCAGTGATAGAGCGCTTGCCAAGCAAGTACAAGGCCCTGGGTTCAGTCCTCAGCTCTGAAAAAAAAAAAAAAAAAAGACAAAATAACAAAAAAGACCAAAAAAAACAAGGCAACTTAAATTCTAAAATAAAGCCCAGTAGTTCTGACCAAATGCAATACAGTACAGTAATTTGGGACTAGATTAAAAAGTACACCTCCCCATCTCCATTTTGTCCTTAACAAGAATCCTGACAGGTAAGTAGGACAAGGATTCTCCTCTCCATGTGGCCAGTGAAGACACTAAACCTAGAAAAGAAAGGTAAAACAACACATCTACAGTCACACAGCCAGGTGGTAGGGCCCTGACTTGAAACCAGGTCTCCTGACAGCTCATCTTCCACAGCATCACCCTGTTCATTGTATCATTGTCGCCATTGTAGGTTTTCATTGAGTGAAAACTGCACTTGAGAAGGGAGATAGTTTTTAAGCACATGATGGTTGAGGTGGCTTGTGATTGATGGTCAGATTTCCAAATGACCAAACAATAAACAAAATCAGAAACTAAACCAAAAGCAGATCATTTAGCAGAATACTGAGATTTTTTTCAGAAAGTTTGTCATGCCATCAAAGACAATGGTGAACATTTTTTTTTCTTTTTTTTATTTTTTCGGTCTTTTTAAGACAGTCTCCCAGTAGCCCCAGCTGGCCTTGAACTCACTATGTAGTCCAGGCTGGCCTTGAACTCACAGAGCTCCATCTGCCTCTGCCTCCCACTCCTGGCCAAAAATAGTTTTTTAAACCTTTGTTTAGGTCTGTCATTCCAATATAGAAGGTATACCTGCTCTATTCTGCCATTCTGAAAGACGAATTTTCTTCATTCTTTTCACTAAGTAGATAGTTGGTGATCATTAGATTTGTCAATGTAAAATTACCTTGTTAATCTGCTAAAATGGGGTTTAATTATTGCTAATTTGTGCTTTTCTCCTAGTTGCCATATGAAGAAATCAGCTGTTGGGGGCACTAGCACTCCAAGCACACCACTATATTGCTGCCATTTTACTATATTTGAATCACCTGGGGATCTTGTTAAGCAAGCCTGCTAGGCATGGTGGCACACAAATTTAGTCCCAGCACTCAGGAGGCAGTCAGATCTCTATGAGTTCAAAGCCAGCCAGGTCTACATAGTTCCAGGCCAACTGGAGCTACAGGGAGACCTTGTCTCAAAAAAAAAAAAAAAATAGAAGCAAGTTCTGATTTAATAGGCATAAGGGTAAGCAGGAGGCAGCAATCTGCGTTTGGGATCAACTGGGCATGCCAGTGTTGCTGAGCTGGGGCCACACTTTGCAGAAGGCTTTCAAGAGTACTTCTGGAAGGCTAGGTATGGTGGAACATGCCTTTAATTCTAGCACTCGGGAGGCAGAGGCAGATCTCTGTGAGATTGAGGCCATCCTGGTCTACACAGCAAGTTCCAGGCCAGCTATCCCTGCAGGAAGATCCTGTTTTAAAAAGACCAAAAAAAAAATAAATTTTTTTTAAATTATAGTTTCAGAAAAAATGATGTTTTGGGGGAACAGAAGCCAGGAAAAGCCTACTGAAGTCATTTCTTGTTGTAAACACTTTATGATTTTTGCCTGGTTTATTAGTAATGTATGTTTTCTTGTGGGAATATATGTCTTATGGTTTATAATATGTGAATTTTTCTCTAATTGTTACATCAGGTGTGTTCTATACAGAATGGTACTCAGAAAGAATGGTAATATAATTCACTAGGTTGCTCCATGCCAGTGGTAGTACACTAGCTGATATCGTTGCATCCCAGACACAGTGCTTACATAGCTTGAGCTACATGCTGTCAACCAGGAAGTAGAAATTTTTGTTATCCTCATTCAGCGCTGAGGAAGATGAGCCTCACCTTCACTGATCTGCCAACAAATGGAATATGAGGGGCAAAATGTCAGCTCGGAGTCTAATCCTATAACTTGTATCTTCTGTTTCCTTACTAGTTTTACAGCAACCTAGAAACTCCCGTTTGTGCAGCATACATGTGAATTTTCTAGTTTCTTTCCTGGAAGGCCTTGTAAGAACAGCTTTTTTCTTCTGCTTTCCTTTCCTGTTGTTTTTCCATAGGTATTTATGGTTTGTATTCATCACCAGATTTTTAATTTAGTCATCATTTTGCCTATGTATATTTTGAAAAAAATTTTCAACTTTTTAAAATGAATGAAAAGTAGATAGTACTGTCCTTGAGTGAAAGATAAAAATGTTTTGAGACCTTTAAAATATATATATTGGCCAGGCATGGTGGCACATGCCTTTAATCTCAGCACTCAGAAGACAGAGGCAAGCAGATCTCTATGAGTTCAAGGCCAGCCTGGTTTAACAGTGAGTTCCAGGCCAGCTGGGGTTACCAGAAGACCTTGTCTTAAAAAAGTGTGTGTGTGCGTGTGTGTGTGTGTGTGTGTGTGTGTGTGTGTGTATTGTTTTGTTTTGTCAACAAACAGTTGACCAAAATTAAGAGTGAATTTTGGCTTGCTGTCATTCTCAACAGCATTTTTCTTTAAAAAAAAAAAAACAAAACAAAAACTATTTATGGGGCTGGAGAGATGGCTCAGTGCTTAAGAGCACTGTCTGCTTTTACAGAGGACCCGGGCACGATTCCCAGCACCCACATGGCAACTACAATTAAAATATTATTTTTATTTTATGTGTATGAGTGTTATGCCTGCATGTATGTGAGTGCACCCGTGTTGTGAAGTGCCTGAGGAGGACAGAAGAAGGTGTCAAATCCCCTGGAACTGGCATTACAGACAGGTGTTAGCTGCTTTGTGGGTGTTGGGATTCTAACTTAGGTGTTCTATAAAAACAGACTGCTTTTAACCACTGAGCCATCTCTTTTTTATTTTATGTGTATGAGTGTTATGCCTGCATGTATGTGAGTGCACCCGTGTTGTGAAGTGCCTGAGGAGGACAGAAGAAGGTGTCAAATCCCCTGGAACTGGCATTACAGACAGGTGTTAGCTGCTTTGTGGGTGTTGGGATTCTAACTTAGGTGTTCTATAAAAACAGACTGCTTTTAACCACTGAGCCATCTCTCCAGCCCCATTGACAGCATATTTCTGATCAGTACTATTGCTTGCCTTTTGAATAAAATTTCTTTGCTACTTTGCAAAAAAAAAAGTGAATGTTATTGTTTTGTATGTTCTAAAATTTTTGAAGTTTTTTTTCTTTAAATAGTAAATATTATCTAGTAGCTAATATGGAGACATACATGTTGAATTCTTCCAAACCACCACGTATCTAGGAGAGAAGCCAGGGGCCTCTCTGTTCAGCTTCTCGATGCTAGATGTCAGCATGATAGGCAGCATTGGAGCCACTCCATCTCTTGCTAAAGAGAAAAGAACACAGGGAATGGGGCTAGAGAGATGGCTCGATGGTTAAGAGCACTGGCTGTTCTTGAAGAGGACCCAGGTTCAATTCCCAGCACCCACGTGGTGGCTAGTGGCTAACAACCATCTGTAACTCCAGTTCAGGAGACCTAATATTCTCTTCTGACCTCCATGGAATGGGTGCACTTATATACATGCAGGCAATACACTCATACACATAAAATAAAAATAATAAATAAAGCTGGGTGTGGTGAGGAGCACCTTCAAGAGCAGAGGACCCAGGTTCAATTCCCAGCACCCACGTGGTGGCTAGTGGCTAACAACCATCTGTAACTCCAGTTCAGGAGACCTAATATTCTCTTCTGACCTCCATGGAATGGGTGCACTTATATACATGCAGGCAATACACTCATACACATAAAATAAAAATAATAAATAAAGCTGGGTGTGGTGAGGAGCACCTTCAAGAGCAGGCAGGGGGATCTCTGTGACTTCAAGGCAGGGTCTCCCTGTAGCCCCAGCTGTCCTGGAACTCACTATGTAGACCAGGCTGGCCTTGAACTCCCAGAGATTCACCTGCCTCTGCCTCCCAAGTGCTGGGATTAAAGGCATATGCCACCACACCCAGCGTTTTTATTTTTTTAATAAAATATATTTTAAAAAAGAAGAGAACATGGGGAAGAAGAGCATTTGTAAGTGCACAGGCATTTCTGCAGATCTGTGAATCAGTAGAAGTTGTTTAAGCTTAGAAAGATGTGCTGCTGGAGTTGCAGCTTATTTTGGTAATCAATAATACATAAGCTCATAAGCTGGCTAACAGTTGATCTAAAGTGATAGACTTTGTTTTCATTATCTCCCTTCTACAGTCCATCAATATTATGGAACTGACTTTACAGAAATATGGAAGTTATGAAAATTTTGAACAAGCCACTGGTGGTAGCTTGTTATCTAAAACTCGAATCTGGAGTCACGTCAGAAAGTACATGGTGAAGGAAGGCTGCCTGGGAGAGGTGAGAGGTGTACATGCATACTTGCCTGAGCATGGGGACCTGCTGCGGTGTCTGCACCTGCTCTCAGTGCCACCCACATTCATGGTTTTGTCCTGTAGGTTTTGTCTGATCATCCCTATTTTACTAATTCAATTAGTTTCTCTCTCTCTCTCTCTCTCTCTCTCTCTCTCTCTCTCTCTCTCTCTCTCATCTTTCGTTTGCTCTTACTGTATTCTTGTATGTGTAGCTTATGGAATAACATAAATTACTTAATTAAATTGTTAATGGAATGATTTGTTCCAGTGTTCTCTCCTTTTTAGTAGTCCAGTGTTACATGTCAGTCTGAAAATCTTGACACAAGGCTCCTGTTCCTGTACCTTCAGAATTTTTAAATTTATTATTATTTCTCTATGTGTATGTGTGTGTGTGTGTGTGTGTGTGTATGATGTCTTAGTGGGGGGCATGCCACAGTGCACATGTGGAAGTCACAGGACAACTTTGTAGAATCTCTTCTCTTCACCTCCTTCATGGATCTGGAGATCAAACTCAAGTTTCTAGGCTTGCAGAGCAAGCATCTTTACAAACTGAGCCATCTCACCACCCCCTCCTCTTTAAGTGCTAAGAATTGAACTCAGAGCCTCATGCAGGCCAAACAAGCACTCTACCACTGAACTCTATCCTTTCTGTTAATTTGATTTTTTGTTTTGTTTTTGGTTTTTGGTTCTTTTTGGGTTTTTTGAGACAGGGTCTCCCTGTAGCTCCAGCTGGCCTTGAACTCACTATGTAGACCAGGCTGGCCTTGAACTCAGAGATCCATCTGCTTCTGCCTCCCTAGTGCTGGGACTAAAGGTGAGCGCCAACACACCCTGCACTTACTGTTTATTTGAAAGAGTCTCACTAAGTTGCTCAAGGTGACCACGAACTCACTCTGCAGCTAAGGAGACCTTGTGTGATCCTCTTGGCTTTGTCTCCCTGTACCTGTTATGCCCCTTTTTTCATCATCATAACTTGAGTGTATTTGAGATATACCAGAAGTACAGTTTTAGGTTCTCTGCATCTTCCTCAGCATAACCATCTGCTTTCCCCTCAGTCCAATAAAAGTTCTTAAGTTAGGGTTTAAAGTCAGAGGGTTAAAATCGGAAGGTTCAAAGGTGTACATGTCATCACCTTAGTTTCTAGGAGAAGCAAGGTAATTAACAAACAGAAAATGTTAATTTATGGGCCCACTATTTTTTGTGAAAAATTTTCCCCTCTGCCTTTACATTTTGTTTATATATGTGTTTTTGTTATTTTTGTTTGTTTCTTATTTGTTTTATATAATATGTGCATGAGTATTTTGTCTGTGTGTAAGTGCACCACATGCATGCAATGCTTGTGGTGGTAGCAGAGGGTGTTGTATTCCCTGTTACAGAGGATTGTTAGCCACTGAGCCATCTCTCCAACCCTATTTGTTTCTGAGACAGGGTGTCACTATATAGCACTAGCTAGTCTGGAACTCACTATGTAGGCCAGGCTGCCTCTGCCTGCCAGGTAATTGGATTAAAGGCATGTGCCATCATGCCTTGCTCTCTGTGTATTTTTATTATATTTATTTCTGTCTATATGTATTGGGTGCATGAATGTCACAATGCATGTGGAGGTCAGAGGACAACTTATGGGAGTCAGTTCTCTCCATCTGTCATGTTGGTCCCAGAATACTTGGGTCATCAGCCTTGTTGGCAAGTGCTGTAACCCCCTGGACCATCTCACCATTTCCAATCATGTATTTTCTTTTTGCTCCTTAGATTGTAGTTCATCTCACTGAGGACCTGCTTTCCCGGGCATCAATGACTGTAGTAAATGGGTGCCCAACTCTAACGATCAATGTTTCCACTGCACGTGAGCATTGGCTGGAGGGAATGCTTCGACATGAAATCGGTAGAGACAATCCTTTTCCCCTTTTCCATTCTTTCGTTCTGTTAAGAATTACACCCACCACACACAAAGAAAGCTTTCAAAATGTTTTTTTTCTTTAGTAACTTTTAGAAAAGTCAGAGGTTATTACACCCCACATGGACTTCATGTCATTTCAAATTAAAAATTTGGGGGCACTGTCTTGGAAAGTCATTTAACTCCTTTAGATTTCAGTTACCCATTGAAGTTGAAAGGACTGAGTTAAGCGACTCTTTAAATACCAAGTCTGTGATTCTTCTCTTTAACCGTAAATGAAATTATGCCCTAATGAGATGTGGGTTTTTTGAAGATTTGCCTTCAAATTCAAAAGGCTTTTAGGGTCAGGTGATTTCTACCTTGTTTTGATTTTTTTTTTTTTTGGCATAGCTTTTTTCAATTTTTCACATAAAAGAGTTACCCTAGTCCAAGTTAAAAGTGGACCCCAGAGCCGGGCGTGGTGGTGCATGCCTGTAGTCCCAGCCCTTGGGAGGCAGAGGCAGGCGGATCTCTGTGAGTTCAAGGCCAGCCTGGTCTACATAGTGAGCTCCAGGACAGCTGGAGCTACAGGGAGACCCTGTCTCAAAAAAAAAAAAAAAAGACCCAAATTATATACTATACAAGCTATGAGGTTTTTAAAATTGTGACATGGGGAACTTGAAAATTGGCTCAGTGGGTAAGATTATTGATGGGCTGGAGAGATGGCTCAGCAGTTAAGAGCACTGACTGCTCTTACAGAGGACTAGGATTCAATTCCCAGCACCCACATGGCAACTAACAACTGTCTGTAACTCCAATTCCAGGGGATCCAAGGATACCTTCTGACGTCTGAGGGCACTGCACGACATGGGTGCACACATACAGGCAGTACACTAATACACATAAAATAGAAAATAGTAAATATAATGTATTTTTTGAAAAGAGAACTAGCTGGACGTGGTGGTACATGCCTGTAGTCCCAGTACTTGGGAGGCAGAGGCTGGTGGATGGATATCTGTGAGTTCAAGGCCAGTCTGGTCTACATAGTGAGTTCCAGACCGAGGCTACAGGGAAAGCCTCTTTCAAAAATACTAAAAAAAAAAACAAAAAAAAAACACTGACTGCTCTTACAGAGGACCCAGGTTCAGTTCCCAGCACACACGTTGTGCTAACAACTGTCCATAGCTGTTCTAGGGGATCTGCTACCCTCTTCTGGCCTCCATAGGCATTGCTCATACATGGTGAATGCACTTACATATTCGCAGGCAAAACACTCAAATTTAATTAAAGGCCGGTCGTGGTGGCACACGCCTTTAGTCTCAGAACTCAGAGAACTCAGGAAGGCAGAGGCAGATCTCTTGAGTTCAAGACCAGTCTGGTCTACATAGTTTCAGGTCAGCTGTTGCTACAAGAATACCCTGCCTCAAAAAGACAAAAAAAAAAAAAAAAAGAAAATTTCCAATAAGGAGCCAGGCATGGTGGCACACGCATTTAATCCCAGCAGAGGCAGACAGATCTTTGAGTTCAAGGCCAGTCTGGTCTACAGAGAGACCCTGTCTCAAAAAGACTAAAAAAAAAAAAAAGAAAATTTCCAATAAGGAGCCAGGCATGGTGGCACACGCATTTAATCCCAGCAGAGGCAGACAGATCTTTGAGTTCAAGGCCAGTCTGGTCTACAGAGAGACCCTGTCTCAAAAAGACTGAAAAAAAAAAAAGTTTCTACAAGGGAAATTCTACTCACTACAAGGAAATCCTCACTTAACCTTAAAAGAGCTTAGCAGAGTTTTAAGTGATTCACAAGCACCTGCAACTCATGAGGCTCCAGCTAACCATCCTTTTTGCCAGTCTAGTCTCTGTCAGGACCTGGCACATGTTGGTCTGGTCACCCTGGAGCCGAATTGCTTCTTCATATTCTGCATGTTCAGTAACAGTTCCATAACAGGCCTTGTTTTTGTTTTCATTTTCTAAACCTCAAAGACAATTTTATTAGTGTTTAAAAGAAAAATTTTAGAGTAGGCAAGCTCTAAATCTCAGCAGCTGCCCAGAGGAAGAAGATGGAGGGGAGGAAGAGAGAAAGCCAGTCTGTTTGAGTAAAGCTGGCATTTCAGGAGTGGAGTCAGCTGTGTGATAGACAAGAAGCTACATGATTAAAAAAAAAAAAATAGTAGGGTAGGGAGCTTCAGAGAAAGAATGAGGAAACTCAAGTATCAGGAAAAGCATGCTTAGGAAAGAGAGACAGAAAAGGCCAAGGACAAAAAAGTCCCTATCCTTAAACTTCCTGCCCCATTTCTATCTCTTGTGTCATCATTACCTCTGAGGAGGTAACCCTAACTGCTGTTAGGGAATTGGGGCAAGGACAGAATCTGACTTCTGATGGGTGGAGTCATCCCATGTGCCAATGATGTACCCTTCCAGTGGGTCTATCTAAGAGACCTTGAAAGTGCGTTAATGATTTCATTTGTATAACAGCTACGTATAGGAAGGAAAGTCCTTGACTGGCACCTGGATAGAGACTTGAGTCAGGAGTTAGGGAGAAGTGAAATTGGAACCCTTTGAGTAAAGGATCAGGCATGAGTGAATAAAAGCTTAGCATTACTAGCACTAGGCAGAAAACCAAGAGAAGCTGAACAAAGGACATTTCTATGTACCATTGGGCACATCTTTGGAGTTTTGTTTTTCCTTTGACCTCCAAGGGAGACTACAGAGTGATGAACCCAGGATCACTTTCAGATGTTTTGATAGCTGTTTGAGTGGCTAGAATCACAGTGTAAGGTTCCCTTCCTAGGTGAGTTCAACAGTTGTAGGCAGGAACACTAAAAGTTGTCATCTGGATCTTGTTTTGATCTCCCTTTAGCTCCTAGACATGAGCTATTGCTGGGGAAGGAACCCATAAAAGACCTTTTTGAGGTTTGGGTGTTTTTTTGTTTTGTGGTATGTTGAAATAAGGTCTCATACAGCCTAGACTGGCATCAAACTTGCTCTATATATAGCACAATAAACTTGGTTTTTGTTTTTTTGTTTTGTTTTTGTTTTCAACTTTTTTATTTTTATTTTTTTGGTCTTTTTGAAACAGGGTCTCCCTGTAGCCCCAGCTCTCTTGGAACTCACTTTTAGACCAGGCTGGCCTCAAACTCACAGAGATCCACCTGCCTCTGGAGTGCTGGGATTAAAGGTGTCTGCTACCACACCAGGCAGGATGTCCTTATTGCCTTTGAACCTGTGGCAAGGTAACATATCATGGTGGGAGCATGTGACCAAAAAACCAAGGAAAGGAAAAGGACTTGGTCTCAAGATGAACTTCTAGGCCTGCCTTCACCGAGCCTCACATCTTAACATTTCTACCTCCTCCCAGTAGCACCAGGTTAGGAACAAGCCTTCAACATTTGGATTTGTTTGTTTGTTTGTTTGTTTGTTTTTATGTGTATGTGTGTTTTGCCTGCATGTATGTAGGTGCCCTCATGTTATACTTGCAGTGCCCGTGCCGGCCAGAAGAAAGTATAGGATCCCCTAAACTGGAGTTATGGATTGATTGTTAGCTACTATGTGGGTGCTGGAACCCAAACCTTAGTCCTCTGCAAGAGCAGCCAGTGCTCGTAACTGCTGAGCTATCGCTCCAGCCCCAACACTTGGGACTTTGAGAGAATATTCAAGATACAAACTGTAGCATTTTCTTTGGTGGAAAATCAAAACAATATCATTTCTTATCATCCACATTCCTTTTCTACTGTATAGGCACACATTATTTTCGGGGCATTAACAACCTTCAACAACCTTGGAATAGTTGGATTGGCCGCAAAAAACATGAGCTAAAGCCAAACAATCCTACCGAGGAAGGATTAGCAAGCATTCATAGTGTCCTCTTCAGAAAAGACCCTTTTTTATGGAGGGCTGCCCTCCTCTACTACACGGTCTACCAAGCCAGCCAAATGGCTTTTTGTGAACTCTTCAATGATATTGGCAAGTTTGTTAAGGACCCTAATACAAGATGGGATTATTGTGTACGAGCCAAGAGGGGATGGACTGATACTTCCCAGCCAGGTAAGTGTCCCTTGATGGTAGGTTTTCTGATTTATTGGCTAGTTATTTAGTGATTTTGGTTATATTCCAATCTTTGACTCTGATCATGCACTCACCTCGGAAAACTCTTAAACCTTTGTTACTTGAGGTCAGCACTTTTCTTTCAGGAGACAGAGTCTTGCTATGTAGCTCCACAGCACTCTCAGCATTATTTTAGCCTTTTCCCTTTTGAAATTTTTCAGACCAGTAGGCTGTGGAAAGAACAGTAGAATGAGCTGGGCACACCTGTAGTCCCAGCACTCAGAAGGCTGAGGAAAGAGGATAACAAGTTGGAAGCCCATCAACCACATAGTAAGACTGAGTGAAAAAGAAAGGAGGGGGCTGGCAGATGGCTCAGCAGGTAGAAGGTGCTTGCTGCCAAGCCTGACAACCTGGATTTGATCCCCTGACACATGGAGGAAGGAGAGAAAACTGTAACTGTGGGGCTCGAGAGATGGCTCAGCAGTTAAGAGCACTGGCTGCTCTTGCAGAGGACCCAGATTCGGTTCCCAGCACCCACATGGCAACTAAGAACTGTAACTCCAGCTCCAGGGGATCTGACACTGTCTTCTGATCTCTGTGGGCATTGCATCCATGTGGTGCACCTCCGTACATGCAGGCAGGCAAAATAGTCATACACATACAATAAAATAAGTCAAAAAAATTTTAAGCTGTAAAAAATAGAATAAACACCCTTCTGGATTAACAAGACATTAATTAGCCAATTGTTGACATTTCTACTTTCTCTCTGACTTTTTTTTTTTTTTTTTTTTGGTCTTTTTGAGGCAGGGTCTCCCTGTATCCCTAGCTGTCCTGGAACTGGCTTTCTCTCTGACTTTAAAAACAGCTTTGCCAAGCATGGTGGTACATGACTTTAATCTCAGCACTCCTCTAGAGTGAAAGGCAGGCAGATCTCTATGAGATCAAAGCCATCCTGGTCTGCATAGCAAGTTCCAAACCAGCTTGGGCTACTGGGAGACCCTGTCTAAAAAAAAAAAAAAAAAAAAAAGCAACAATAAATGTAAAATTATATCATTTGTGATCTTTTGTGACTGCCTCCTCCAATTAGCAGGATTGGGGGGTGGGCAGTATTTGCTTTGTTTTGTTTTGTTATTTTTGAGACAGGGTCTCACTATGTAGCCCTGCCTGACCTGAAACTCCATATGTAGTCCAGTCTGGCCTCTCAAACTCACAGGGATCTACTTGCCTCTGTTGGGATTAAAGGCATGTACCACTATGCCTGCCCTTTTCTGGAACACATTAAGTCAGGAAGAGTAACTTTGAATTCCTGATTCCTTTGCCTCCACCTCCATGCCTGGATTACAAGTGCACTGTGGAAGGACCATGCCCACACCCATTCCTATACACACAAAACAAATAACGTCTTGGCCAGAATTTTTCTTTACTTTTTATTTGTTATTATTGTTCTTCTTTTTGAGATAGGGTCTCCCTTTAGCCCCAGCTGGTCTGGAACTCTCTATGTAACCCAGGCTGGCTTTGAACTTACAGAGTGCTGGGATTACAGGCATGTACGACCATGCCTGACTTCTTTACATTTATTTATTTGGCAGGGAGGGACTGGGATGGGTGACTCATAACAACTTTAGGAAATCTGTTTTCTCCTTCTGCCTTGTAAGTTCCAGTGATTTAATTCAGGTAATCAGACTTGGAGGCAAGCATCTTGATCTGCTGAGCCATCTTGCTGGCCCCATCAGTGATTCTTCATGAATCAGTTGTCCCATTGAAGATATATAGAAAAGCAAGCAAGGCATAGTTCATGCACAGTGCATGTGGATGCTCCAGGCAGATCTAGTTCCAAGTAAGGACACTACTTTAAAGGAAAGTAAAAATTTTTTGTTGTTTTCTGTCTTTGTATGTATATGTATATGTGTATGCTATCTGTGATATGCATATACTTGTGTTACACACAATCTGTATATATATGTGTTATATATGTTGCATGTGTGTGTTCATGCATGTTGATGTGTGTATTATACATAAAATATGCATGTTTGCATCTTATGTGCATGTGTACATGTGCATATATATATATGCACATGTGTGCATTCATGCTTGCAGTACAGAGGTCTTCCTCTTGCTCTCTACCTTTGTTTTTATCTTTTGTTTGGTTGTTGGTTGGGTTTTTTGTTTGTTTGGTTTTTACTTGGTTGGTTGGTTAGTATTTTGGGGCTTTTTTCAGCTTTTGGGGGGGGACAGAATCTCCCTCTAGCTACATCTGGCCTGGAACTATATAGACCAGGCTGGCCTCAATATCACAGAGATCACCTGCCTCTGCTGGTATTAAAGGCATGCGCCACCATGCCCTACTCTTGTTTTTTCTCTTTTAGAGATAGGGTCTCACTCTAAACTGGTCTGGAAATGATGTATAGCCCAGGCTGGCCTCAAACTTGAGATCCTCCTACCTCAGCCTCCTGAGTACTGGGATTACAAGCATGCACCACCATGTCCAGTTTTTTTTTGTGTGTGTGTGTGTGTGTGGTTTTTTTTGTCTTTTTGAGACAGAGTCTCCCTGTAGCCCCAGCTGTCCTGGAACTCACTATTAGACCAAGCTGGCCTTGAACTCACAGAGATCCGCCTGCCTCTGCCTCTGCCTCCCAAGTGCTAGAACTACAGGTGTGTGCCACCACACCCATGTCCTGTTTTTTAACAAGACACTATAAGAAAAGTTTAGGGCACTATAAAAGTCTTCAGCGGGGCTGGAGAGTTGGCTCAGCAGTTAAGAGCACTAGCTGTTCTTGTAGAAGACCCAGGTTTGAATCCCAGCACCCACACAGAGGCTGACAACCATCTGTAACTCCAGTTCCAGGGGCCCAGGGAGACCCTGTCTCAAAAGGACCAAAAACAAAGAAAGAAAAGAAAAAAAGTCTTATGAAAAAAAGGATAAGAATTAGGAATGACCGCTGACCTCTACATATGTATCATTGCATGTGTGTTCACATGATGCACACACAAATAAGTAAAAAATTTAAAAAGAGCCAGGCATGTTGGTTCTCGCCTTTAGTCCCAGCACTCAGGAGGCAGAGGCAGTCGGATCTCTGTGAGTTCCAGGCCAGCCTGGTCTACCTAGTGAGTTCCAGGCCAGCTGGGGCTACAGGGAGACCCTGTCTCAAAAAGACCAAAAAAATTTTTTTAAAGGAAAAAAAAATTTTGTTTGAAAAATGCCATAATTAAAAAATAAAAATTCCTCCGTTCACTGTGGTGGCTCCAGGGTAGCCTGAGCTATAGAGTAAGACCAGAAAACCAAAATAAAACAAAATTCGAGTTAGTAGAGTGTGTCTTGTTTGCTTGTTTGGTTTTTTTTGTTGTTGTTCATTGGTTTATTTTTTGTGACAGGGTCTCAGTAGCCCAGGCTGGCCTCAAATTTGCTATGTATTTCTGATCCCCCTGCCTCTACCTCTAGAATTACAAATATGTACCACCACACCGAGTTTATGCAGTGCTAGGGATCCAACCCAGGGCTTCCTGCATGGGAGGCAAGTACTCTACTGACTTAGCCACATTCCTAGCCCTATGACTCCTAAAACCATAGTTTCAGTTGGGTGTGGAGGCACATACCTGTAGTCCCACCCCTCAGGAGCCTGAGACAGGAGAATGAATGTAACCTGAAGGTGAGCTTGGGCTACATAGCTAGACTGTTTTCTTGAGGAAACAAGAGGCTGGAGAGATGGCTCAGTGATTTTAAGAGTACACACGTCTGGGGCTGGAGCGATAGCTCAGTGTTAAGGGCACTGACTGCTCTTGCAGAGGACTGAGGTTCAATTTCCAGCACCCACATGGTGGCTATGAACTGTCCTTAACTCCAGTTCCAGGGAAATCCACTGCCCTCTTCTGACCTATGACAGCATTGCACTACATGGTGCACTCACATGCATGCAGGAAATACACTCATACACATAAAATAAAATAATAAATATTTTAAAAAAGAGCACACACTGCTCTTGCAGAAGACCTGAGTTTGTTTCCTAGTACCCATATTGAGCCAACCACCTATAACTTCAGCTCCTGGGGATCCAATGCCCTCTTTTGACCTCTTTTAACCTTGGTGGGCACATACACTCACATGCACATTACCTATACCCAGACACAGGCATACACATAATTTCAATTTTTAAAAAATAAATCTTTAAAAAAATGTCAGCATAGTAATATATGTCTGTAACTCCAGTGCTTTGGAGGTAGAGGCAGGAAGATCAGGAGTTCAAGGCCTTCCTGGTCATAGTGAGTTCTAGACAGTCTCAGTGCTATATTGCAAAACCCAGTTTCATTGACATTTTTTAAATTTTGTTTTTTCGTCATTTTGAGACAGGGACTCCCTGTAGCCCCAGCTGGCCTGGAACTCACTATGTAGACCAGGCTGGCCCCAAACTCACAAAGATCTGCCTGCCTCTGCCTCCCAAGTGCTGGGACTAAAGGCATACATCACCACACCAGGCCCTTCATAGACATTTTTTTGCGGGGGGGTCTTTTTTGAGACAGGGTTTCCCTGTAGCCCCAGCTGTCCTGGAACTCACTATGTAGACCAGGCTGGCCTTGAACTCACAGAGATCTGCCTGCCTCTGCTTCCCGAGTGCTGAGATTAAAGGCGTGCGCCACCACGCCCGGCTCCATAGACATTTTTATATGGGTTCTGAGGATTGAACTCATGTCCTCATGCTTAAGCAAGCACTTTACAGACTGAGCTCTTTCCTTAGCTCAAGACCCAGTCTTACAAAACCAAACAAACAAAATTAGATCTTGATATATTGCTCAAGATAACCTCAAATTCAAGCTCCCTCTACCTCAGCTTCCCAAATACCTAGGTTCAGAATGTGTGTCATGGTGCCCAGGATCATAATAAAGGAGTGGGGACAGGGATTACTATTTAGCAAATAAAACAAACAGAAGGAAACAGGATGTTCAAAAACCCTGTATCTCCATATTGCTCTTGTTGAGACCTAACTGCTCTAAAACTTCCCATCCCTCCCCACCCAAATCCTTCATCACACCAAGGGAGTTATGATTGTGCTTGATTGGTGTGGGTGGGATAATCATTTATAAAGTTATGCAATTTAAATACCAGTCTTTGTAATTTATGGAAGAAGTCAATTAAGAAGGGGTTAGGTAAAGTGGATTCTTAGGGCAAAATGTGAGGCTGTGCAATTTACATACTGACCCAGATCTTACCTTGTATGTCATGAAGATAATTGAACATTAGAATGTGTTATTTGTTTATTTATATATTTATTTTTGGTTTTTGGAGACAGGGTCTCCCTGTAGCCCCAGCTGTCCTGGAACTCCCTATGTAGCTCCACCTGCCTCTGCCTCCAGAGCACTGGGATTAAAGGCATTCGAAACCACACCTGGCTTCATAGTAATTTTTTACCATTAGAAAGTATACATTATTCTACTTCTTCCAGGGTGTTTCAGTAAAGACCAGGTGTACTTGGATGGAATCCTTCAAATCCTCCGCTACAGACAATCAATAGACTTTCATCTACTGACTGCCCTGGGCAAGGTGAGTAAAAGGAAAGGCCCAGACTCCCCGTACACACCAAGCCAGCATCCTCTCTAGCTTGACTGTATAATTAAATGAAACTAAAGTTCAAACTGCTTTCTTTATTGTTGGAATAAGTTTCTTTTATTTAACAAGAAGAATTTTTCTTTATGAATAATAGATAAAGTAACAGAAAACTTGGAAAAATACATTTTTTTTGGTCTTTTTGAGACAGGGTCTCCCTGTAGCCTCAGCTGTCCTGGAACTCACTATGAATGAATGAAGGAAGGAAGGAAGGAAGGAATGAATGAATGAATGAATGAATGAGGAAGAAATTCACCTTCAAAATGTAACTTGTGTTTAATAATAATTCATTTTTTTCAGGTTTCTTATGAAGATGTGGATCGCTTAAAAGAATTGGCTGTTACTGAGAACATGAGAGTGCCTCACTTCCTACAGGATCACGACCGCTATATGGAACACTTAGAGAAGATCATGGAGGTGAATGAGCTGACTGACACGGAGCTAAAGAACCTCATCTAATGCTTAGGGCTCAGCTGTTCCTCCATGTAGATTACAGGGTGGGTGTACCTAGCACCTGCAGATGTAGGAAAGAAGAATAACTGTTGCTTGAATTTTCTGAAGAATGCTCTTCAGTATTCAGCTGAATCTTTAGGTTATGTGTAAGCCTGAAATTATTTCCCTAAGATGTTTCCATAGGTGGCAGGTGGAGGCCACACCCATTTTCACCTGAATCTCAGTGGAGACAAATGAAGATTCTGCTGAGGAAGGACTCCAGGTTGAATTGCAAACTTCCTGAGCACCGAGGCCAGCTCCGGACTGGAGATGACCAAATTTCCAGCTGTGTTGTACAAACTCTGAGGTTCTCTTTCAGTTGTTCATCTTTGAAATATTCATTTTGTAACACTCCAAAAAGTTGTTAATATCTAAGAGTTCTTATTTTTCTTACGTTAAATAATATTAAAAGAATAAAAAGAAATTTGAAATTTTTTCATTGCTTTATTTTATACATTATTATTTTATCTTCTCAGCTTATAGAAACTAGAGCTGTAGGGAGGGGGCGGTGCTCAGAAATGCTAAGCTTGCATGCACACTGCCACTCATCTATACCCCAAGCCCTGAGTGTTCTGATTTTTTGTTTTGTTTTGTTTTGTTTTTGTGCTTTTGAGACAGGGTCTCCTTGTAGCCCCAGCCATCCTGGAACTATGTAGACCAGGCTGGCCTCAAACTCACAAAGATCCACCTGCCTCTGCCTCCCAAGTGCTGGGATTAAAGGCGTGTGCCAGCATGCCCAGCATGTTCTCTGTTTTTGTCTAGTGTTTCTCTCCCTCACTCCCTGTCCAGAATGGTTTATTGAGTACAATGCCAGAGGGTAGCAGACTGGGTAGCATGGAGCACCCTCAGCATAGGGCCTGTCCAGTTATCATTTTCATTTATGGAAACGTTTTACTGCTTTAAATTTTTTGCAGTTTGAAGGTCTTTCCCTTGGCAGAAAACAGTTTATTGAGAGGTAGAGAACAGTTCCCTGCAGCAGGAAGGGGGGGTCTCAGAATGAGTTGCTGCCTCTGCATTTTATATAAATGACAAGTGTAAGTTCTTGAGGGATTCATCTCCTCAAATCAAAGGAGTTGGGGAAAAGGAGGCTATTCTTTGAAGTGTGTAGTGAGGAGAGGGCAAGTACAATGACCATGCTATGGACAATGCACTTCCATCTAAGAAGCCAGCCTTGTGATCCCGGCTCAGAGTACTTTATCAAAAATCTTTGATCAATTCTTGTAGTTTGAATTTTACAATCCCAGTTTGTTTTGCTGTTTTTTTCCTGCTCTCAGCAGGTATACCTAGGCTTTTCGTTGGTTCTTCATACAGCTTGTTTTAATGACCAGGAGGAATGCTACTATAAATACTCCATTCAAGCTTGCTACTGTGAGTTCTACAGCTATGGAAGAGTTTATCTTCACCTCCGTGCAGGCTAAAATATGGTGCTAACATTAGTAGACAAACATTACAAAGCCTGGCACATATTTGTGGTAGAAAATGATTTTTTGTTGTTTTTTGTTTTTGAGACACGATCTCCCTGTAGCCCCAACTGGCCTGGAACTTGCTGTGTAGACCAGGCTGGCCTCAATCTTTCACAGATCTCCCTGCCTCTGCCTCCCAAGTGCTGGGATTAAAAGCATGGACCACCATGCCCAGCTGTTTTTTAGTTTTGGAAGCAAAGTTTCCAAAACTAGTCCAGACTGACCTCAAATTTGAAATACAGGTGAGGCTGACTCTGAACTGATCCCCTTGCCTCAGCCTCCTAAGTGCTAGAATTCCAAGCATGCACCACCAGGTCTGACTTAAAAGATGTAAAATTTCTGGTGACTGGGCCCTCTCAGACCAGTAGTTGATAAGGGATGATAAGGAAGAAAGGAAGGAAAGTTAAGGCATTCCTAGAACACTACCTGCTTATGAGTTCCACAAACATGATTCACTCAATATTAGTATCGTATGGCAGTGATAATAATGAAAAAACCCCACTCCGGAGACAGAGACAAGCAGATCTCTGAGGCCAGCCTGTCTACGTAACAAGTTCCAGGCCAGGTGGAGCTAAAGGGAGACCATGTCTCAAAAAAAAAAAAAAAAAAGAGAAGTCCACACCACACACCACAAACTCCATTATGACAGTGAGGTCAAGGACTCGACTGTTAAATCATCACAGTACCAGTTATCTGTTATCTGTCAGCACCCTTGCTGACACTTCACAGGATTTGGTAGTACTTGTCCTTATTGCTGAAAAATTCTTTTCCTAGCCATACTTAGTAACATACATAAAATTCAAAGTCAGCAAGCCCCATTTTTTTTTATTTATTATTTTTATTTTTTGTGTATGAGTGTTAATTGCCTGCATGTGTGTAAGTGCACCCATGTCATGCAATGCTCATGGAGGTCAGAGGAGAGCATCGAATTCCCCTGGAACTGGAGTTACAGACAGTTGTTAGCTGCCATGTGGGTGCTAGGAATTGAACCTGGGTCCTCTGCAAAGGCAGGCAGTGCTCTTAACCACTGAGCCATCTCTCCAGGCCCCCTATGTTTCTTCTTGACTCTAGTCATTTCAGTTTTGTCAACCTTTTATTATCTATAATAGGTTCAGCCAAATATCCAGACACTGTTTTTAAACCAGCTCCAGTCCATACTAATGCTTCTCAAAGTGTGAACCTAAGACACTGTGATCCAGGCAGCTGGGACAAAGGCCTGGACATATTCCATCTTCAGAGCTTGAGAATCTGCATGCCAGAAAAGACTAAGGTGCCTCAAGGTGGAGGACACAGAGGAATGCTCACTGTCTTGGGCAATGAGTTCCACCACCCAGCAAGTCTGTAGAGAAGACTACATCTTTGAATTCCTGACTCTGCCCTGGGCTTTCTAGAATCAGTAATAGGGAAATCATACCCCAAGAAATTTGTAGGATCCCTCCTGCATAGGAGTGGCATGATGCCCGTTTGCCAGGATGTAGAGCCATTTTTTATTTATTTGTGGGTTTCTTTTGTGTGTATAAGTGTTTTGCCTACATGTATGTAAGTGCACCATATGTGGGCAGTGCCTGCAGAGGCCAGAAGACAGTGGCAGAGTCCCTGGAAATGGAGTTACAGTTGTGAGCTGCCATGTGGGCGCTCAGATCTGAAGCCCAGGTCCTCTGCAAGAGCAGCAAGTGCTCTTAACTGCTGAGCCATCTCTCCACTCCCCATGTAGAGCCATTTTGAAATTTCCATTTTAGAAGGTCACTGCAGAGTGCCTCAGAACTCCGCAAAGAACTTCTGTACAATACACGGAAAGCCCAAAGAGCCTGCCACCCTTCTCCGGCTCCAAATGGGCTCTGTCCAAAGTAGCTGGTTCAACCAAATAGAGCATTCATTCAACGCAGCCAGCTGCACTTTTTTATTCAATGTGTAACTTTTTATAGAAATTTTGTGCATTTCATACAATACATCTTCATATTTAGACCCCCTCCCCTAGCCACGGCCCCCTATAGCCTGCCTGCCCACAAGATTTCATGTGTTAAGGCCCAGCTGCACTCCTTATCACAGCAGAACTTGAATCTTTGGTGCTGTCCACCACCAACAGTGATGATGTGATTAAACAGTTCATCATAACGGGGTCTGTAGGGTACTAGGCAATCTCACCTGCTCTCCCTGATTATCTACTGAAACTTAGCCTACTAAGGCAACACCGTTAGCCCCAGAATCAAGTGAAGCCTGGCTTCAGTCAAGCTCAGAGAAACAAAAGCCAGTGAGAAGCCCCTCTGGGGGCCTTTTCTCTTCCTGTCCTTCCTGCCTGGGCCACCTGGAAGAAGGCAATTCTGTTAGGAGCGCTCTCTGCCTGCTGCTGTCTCTAGCAGACCTCGGACTGTCATATTACCACACCCAGAATGGGCACAGAGGCACACATCAGAAAAACAGAGTGGCCCTCTGCCCCCTGGAGGGGTGGCGGAAGGACCAGCTGGGAGACATCCTGAGAAGAAAGATCAGATGCCCCAGGTGCCTCTCCTTTGCCTCCAGCTCCTTTGCTGTCCCAGGTTGCCCCTGGGCTCCGGCCATCACTGACTCTCTGCCATCTGCTTTCCACAGCCTGTGATTCTGGGATAAGACCAAACTCCCAGGTCAATCTTAGCTAGCCATGTGGTTTCTGGGAAGCAGGGAGCCTCAAGAAATTCTCCTTGGCCTAGGCTAACTTGCATTACCTCTGCCTACCCTTGTCACAACTACTAGTTTTCCATAGCCCTTTCTCTGACAGGTCCTGGCCAATTGTACTTGTTCCTGACCACAGTAAAATTTGAGCCCTTAATCATTTAATAACTAATTCATCACAATGGAAACTAGCAGGGACTTAGGCAGTTGCAGGTTCCATCCCAGACTATTGGAACTCTCATCACCAAGGAGATGACAAAACCAAAACTCAGGCATGGGTTGACCATGAAAATCAGCTTTGTCCTCACCCAGTTCATGCCCTGCAAATCCTTTCCAATGGGCCACTCACCTGGTTTTCAGCAGTGGTCTCAACATTCTGGACCTTCATGATGTTGGTTCACACAGACAGGGTCCTCCTGGTGCTGGGCTGGGTGCTGGCACTGAATCTTTGCCACTGCTAGACATGGCTCAATTCTGCGTAATAGGCAGGATTTAATAGAGCCACCCCCCGCCCCCCATTCTCTGGCACACACTGCCATTTCTCAATGCTATCCTGCTTTGCAATTTTGCAAAGGAGGTCTGGTAACACCCGAACCTTTCTGTCTACCTTCGCTGTCCTTCAGGGGTTTGGCTACCAGTGAGGATAATGGTGGTGGTTGTGATGATTTTGTGATAAACATCTTTCGTTTAATCTTTATGCCCTTATTATAAAGCAGGAAGAAACATTTTCATTTTTCAGATACAGAAACAAACTCTGGGAGGCAAGGTAACTTGCCCAATGCATTGGAACAGGCCTTTGGGGCCATGACATCATTCCAGCCTACTTTTTTGTTTGTTTTGGTCTTTTTGAGGCAGGGTCTCCCTATAGCCCCAGCTGGCCTGGAACTCACTATGTAGACCAGGCTGGCCTTGAACTCACAGAGATCTGCCTGCCTCTGCCTCCAGAGTGCTGGGATTAAAGGTGTGCACCACCATGCCTGGCATTGTTTTGTTTTATTGAGACAGGGTCTCACTATGTAACCCTGGATAGCCTGGACTCACTATGTAGACCAGGCTGGCTTCAAAGTCAGAGATCTACCTGCCTCTGGAGTGCTGTGTATCACCATACACCCAGAAGAAAGTCATATTTGGAGGTACTCATGAGGTCAGGGTTTCAGCATATCCTTTTTTTTTTCCTTTTTTTTTTTTTTAAGATTTGTTCTTTTTTCTGAATGTTTTGCGTACAGGTGTGTAGGTGTATGCCTGGTGCGTGACGAGA